CTTTCAAGTATAAACTTAAACTTGATTTCAGCAAGTTTCAAGTTTGAAATTTCAACTTTCCACTGTCAAGGTTCAAACCGAAAACACTTTAAAGAATCATGACTGTCTCAACCTTACGCATACACATCATTGCAACAGGTGAGAATGATGCAAAAGCAGTTTCATCGATAGCGACGAACACAAACATACCCACACACAATCGCCACAGGTGTGAGTGTGGCGAAAGGAGTTCCATGAAGGATGACTAACACAAACACACACCCACCTACAATCGCCGCATGTGAGGGTGTGGCGAATGGAGTTCCATGAACCCGTTTGATTTCTTTGGAGAGTTTCAGCGGAAACTCAATTAACTAAGGACGCGGAAGCCATAGCAGATTTAGCAGATATAGGTGAAATAGAGGATACAGTAGATATTAATTATCTACTGCAGATAATCTTTATACAGTGCTTGACTTTGAATACTGATCCATTGCAGATATATTAATTCAACTCATCGATCCTTGCTGGAAAAAATCAAGGGGGAAAGTGCAGGCACCCAGCACCCAGCACCTGCTCAGCACCTACAGCACCTATCAGCACCTACAGCACCTACCAGCACCTACAGCACCTGTTCGGCACCTATACTGCATTTCACTATGAGCACCTACAGCACCTACGGCACCTGCAACCACTCTTCCATTATCTTAAGTACTTTTTCAGCACCTGGTAATAAAATTTAAAGGGCAGAGCCTAAACACGAAATTTTATTACCAGGTGCTGAAAAAGTACTTAAGATAATGGAAGAATGGTTGCAGGTGCCGTAGGTGCTGTAGGTGCTCATAGTGAAATGCAGTATAGGTGCCGAACAGGTGCTGATAGGTGCTGGTAGGTGCTGTAGGTGCTGAGCAGGTGCTGGGTGCTGGGTGCCTGCACTTACCCCCTTGGAAAAAATTAATCATAAAAAATAAATAACTGTTTCCTATGTCTCCTGTACCCCGACACCTTCTATACCTCTATACATCCTATACCTTCTATACATCCATGCCTTCTATATCTTCTATACCTCCTAAACCTCCTATACCTCTATATCTCTATACCGCTTAGCCTAGGACATAATCGAGTTTCCGGGGATATTCTCCAAAGATATGTAATTAGCTTTTCAACTCTCTTATTTAAACAGATATTATAGTATGAACTAGAGAGCTGTTAGCGTCCATGATAATTCACTTGGACGCTAAACTATCATTCTAGTGCGCCTTCTAGTCTAATTGGCTGAGGATAACTGCTCGGATAGAAGGAGGTTTGGGTTCGAGTCTCACGAAGATCAGTTTTTTTCTCTATTTTCGTTCTTCCACTGCATGCCCATCCTATGACTCACATACAGAGCTAACAAGAGCAATAAGACTTTATGAAAAGAATAGTCTCTCTAGATATATTTTCCTGTGACTTTCTTATATTTACGAATTGAATCATGAAAGATCAATGTTGCCTATGTCTGCTCATACTATTTACACTGAAACCGAAGCATGATAAGCTCAAGTCAATGTATCTAACAACCAATCCGATTACACTACATAGGATCCTAACAACTAATGAAATTCGATTGGATTGTAGGTCGCCAAACTGCTTTCAGATCCGACAGGTAAGCAGTAAAGTAATATCTGGTGCCATGTGTGTATGTCGACGGTTGATTTGAGTCTTTTGTTTTGGCTTTGTAGAACATTAACCCTGAGGATCCGAATAGTGTTCTAGCATCCTGAATCTCTTGAGAAACGATCGGTTCTCTGGATAGACACTTAAAATTGGGTGGAACACTGTAAAAGAAATCATAGGATACTAATCCTTACCAATACGGTCTTAGACAGTCCTAAACCCTTTACCATTCATTGATAAACCCTTTTATCGTTTATTGCTAGTTTCTTAAACTCTTGCGGGGTTTATAAAGCCTCCTAAACCCAAAAAAAGGATGTATCATATGTTGCACTTTCATAAACCTTTTTTAGACTCGTATACCATTGAGGGTTTATGAAAGTGCTACGTATAATAAACACTTTCTTTAGATTTAGGCAGCTTCATAAACCTTTAGAGCGCATAGAAAACTGACGATAAGCGAGAAAAGGGTTTATCAACGAATGATAAAGAGTTTAGAACTGTCAAAAACCCTTTTGGTAGCGTTTAGTATTCTTTGATTCTTTTTTTTTACAATGAAGTCGCTAATAGGAATATCTTTGCATAAATGTCGTCCATGCATTTCTTGTAATTTTAATATCAATTAAACTGTCTGATCGTAAGAATATTAGAGCTCTGATAAACACTACCTTGCCACATGTGCAACAATATACCTGATTTATAAAATAATTTTCTAACGACATTTTAGGATTACAATTTAGGTGAGGATGAATGGAAGCCACAGGAGTTATCATTTAAGTCTGGCAACCCTATGTGGCCCTCTGTTACCTAAGAAAAATAATCTTTTAGAAGCTTCATTTAATTATCGAGAAGCCACTTATTGAACACACACTATTAATCTGGGTAGAAGCATTGAAAATCGTTACCAAATCGGACAAGTACTTAAAGAAAGGGCATTTCAACGCTTAAATGGCGCATATTTTTGCTCACCCAGGTCGATCTAAACGAATATCCGTTACGGGCCGTTTTCAGACAGTAAGCGATGAATAAACGGCTAGTTTACGGCCGTCAATGGCCCGTATTCTTGACCCAGTAATACGATGCTGTATATAGTGAAAATACGGCCGTATACGGTTAAAAAATCACTATAGTACGGTCCGTATTACTGGGTCAAGTATGACGGTCGTAATTCGGTCCGTAAAGTAACCGTAAAGTAGCCGTATCGTTCGACCTGGGCAGTTAAAGCACTTTTTGTTTCGAACTAAATATTCTCCACAAGGCTCACATTCACAAGCATTCTTTATTGTTCCGAAGAAATGCAAATTTTATAAGCCGTTAAAATGTGCATTTTTTAATGCGTCAAAACGCCATTTTCTAAACCTTCTCTGACTGGTTAGATATGTCTGATATTTTGGTCTGTAAAAGTTACTTTTGATTGTTAAAAGTTACTAGTAGAAACATCTTACTTTGTGCTGTGGCTGTTGCAATTTCTTCATCGTAATCTGAGAAACTTTCATCGACTGATTTGGGAGGTGCCATCTCTAAAAAGAATGATTACATAAATAACACTGTGTATCGTTAATCGATTTTTGTTAGAGTTTCGTAATATTATATTGAACCCCAACACAGATTCGTAGCTGAGTGTGAAGTTTTTGCAAGAATTTCATATAATACTATGAAACGCTTGCGAAGATCCATGAAACATCCAGAAAATTCTACTGATAATTGCTTAGTATCATGTGCAACTAAAACTTTCTGGAGGGTGAAAGTGAAGGTGTGCGCTGGTGAGCTAATATACCAACGAAGCAAATAAATCCTGATTGAATGAATAAATTCCAATGAAAATAAGTCCCCGAAAAAATAAGTCTCGGTAGCTCCTCACCAGTAGTTTTTTTGCATCTTTTGAATGCTTCACCAAACGTATATTCGCAGTCTACCCCAATAAGGAAAGACAATAGATATTTAAAGCAAGATTCATGGCTGAGGAGTTACTTATGCCTTGGAAATTGGACTAATGATTGAGCTGTGAAGCAGAGTGGTCTATCGTCCTCCTAATATGTAGAAAAAGCAAAATTAGGAACTGTTAGGGTGTGGGTGTGGGTGGGTGTGGGTGGGTGTGGGTGTGGGTGTGGGTGGGTGTGGGTGTGGGTGGGTGTGGGTGTG